GGAGGATGAAGAAAGACATAGTGAAGTATGTTGCTTGGTGCCTAAATTGCCAGTAGGTAAAGTATAAGCATTAGAGACCGGGTGGATTGCTTCAGAAGTTAGAGATTCCGGAGTAGAAATGGGAGTGGATCACTATGAATTTCATTGTTGGACTCCTACGGACTCAGCGGAAGTTTGATGCAGTTTGGGTGATTATGGATAGGCTGACCAAGTAAGCTCATTTCCTTCCTGTGATGACTACCTATTCTTCCGAGCAGTTGGCTCGAGTTTATATCCGTGAGATTGTTAGAATTCATGGCGTGCCGATATCTATCATCTATGATAGGGGTACGCAGTTTACATCACAGTTCTGGAGAGCCGTACAGCATGAGGTGGGTACTCGGGTGGAGTTGAGCACAACATTTCACCATCAGACGGACTGACAATCCGAGCGCACTATTTAGATTCTAGAGGATATGCTCGGTGTGTGTGTGTGATGGAGTTTGGGGTTCTTCGTATCAGTTCTTGCCCCTTGTGGAGTTTACCTACAATAACGGTTATCAGTCCAGCATTCATATGGCACCGTATAAAGCTCTGTATGGTAGGCAGTGTCGGTCTCCAATGGGTTAGTTCGAGCCGGGCAAGGCCAGATTATTGGGCACGGACTTGGTTCAGGATGCTTTAGAGAAGGTTAAGGTGATTCAGGATAGACTTCGCACGGCCTAGTCCAAACAAAAGAGTTATACAGATTGGAAGGTTCGTGATATTGCATTCATAGTTGGAGAGCAGGTTACTCCGGGTTTTGCCTATGAAAAATGTCATGAGGTTCGAAAAGAAGGTCAAGCTGGGCAGAAGATTCATTGGTCCATTGGTCCATTTGAGGTGTTGCGGCGAATTGGAACGTTGCTTATAAGCTTGCCTTGCCTCCCAGTTTAGCAGGAGTTCATCCAGTATTCCATGTTTTTATGCTCCGGAAGTATCACGGTGATTCATCTCATGTGTTGGATTTCAGTTCAGTACAGTTGGACAAGGATCTATCTTATGTTGAGGAGCCAGTGGCTATTTTGGACAGGCAGGTTTTCAAAACCTGAGGTCAAAGAACTTGCATCAGTATAGGTTTAGTGGCGGGGTCAGCCGGTTGAGGAGGCGATTTGGGAGACAGAGCAGGATATGCGCAGCCATTATCCTCACATTTTCACCACTTCAGGTATGTCTCTATGCTCGTTCGAGGACGAACGACTATTTTAAGAGGGGGAAATGTAATGACCCGGCCGGTCGTTTTGAGAGTTATAGCCCCGATCCCCTATTACTTGTTTTTCCCCTATTTATTTCTGCTATTGTAACTTGTCGGGAGGTTTTGTTTTGTTTTTTGGAGTGTTTTGGGACACTTAGTCCTTAAACGGAGGCTTAAGTCTTAGAATTTAGACTGTGGCTGGAAATGTGTGAAGACGGATCTGGAATGGAATTCCATCAATTCCGTTAGCTCCGTGGGTGATTTTGGGCTTAGGGGCGTGTCCGGATTGTGTTTTGCAGGTCCGTAGCTCATTGAGGCTTGAAATAGCAAAAGTCAATTTTTTAAAGATTTGGACCAGTGGTGGAATTTTTGATATAGGGGTCGGATTCCGATTTCGGAAGTTGAAGTTGGTCTGTAGTGTTAAACATGACTTTTGTGCAAAATTTGGGGTCAATCGAATGTGGTTTGGTTTTGGGTAGTTAAGGGTCATTTTGGACTTTGGAAAGATAGCTGATTTTTCTGGTATTTGTTGCAGAAGTTTGTTCTTCGCGCTCGCGAAGGGGAGCCCGCGTTCGCGAAGAAGAGCTAAGACAGAAGGGGAAATTTCTCTTCGCGTTCGCGAAAAAAGGGACGCATTGGCGAAGGTTTGTCCATCAGTGTATCGTGAACGCATGAATGGCATCGCATTCGCATAGAGGAAATGGAACAACTCGGACCCCTATGGATTGTTCTACGCATTCGTGTAGAATTGGTCGCGTTCGTGAAGCTTCAGGAAACAGAAGGTACGCATTTGTGAGAGGACCTTCGCATTCGCGTAAGAGGAATATTTGATCAATAAAGTTTTGTGTTACGCGAAAGCGAGAGAGTGGCAACGTTGGCGAAAAAGAAATCTGGGCAGACAGTATAAACATTTCAAAAACGAGGGTTAGCCATTTTTATCAAAACTTGAGTTTGGGAGCTCGGATTTGGACGAGATTTTGAGGGATTTTCAAAGATATCAATTGAGTAATGATTCTTAACTTGATTTTGGTTATATTCCACCAATCTATCATTAATTTTATCATTTAATTTCGGATTAGGGGTGAAAATTGGGAAAAAATGGAAAGAAGTTCTTCAACTAAGATTTTGAGTTTTGATTGGGATTTTGACATCGGATTTGGATAATTTTTGTACGCGTGAACTCGTGAGTGAATGGTTGTTCATAATTTGTGACTTTTACCCAATTCCGAGACGTGGGCCCGGGGAGGCTTTTTGGGTGATTTTCCAATTTCTTGGCTTAGCTTTGATTTCATTAGCTAGATTGGTTTCTTGTAGTTATATTTATGTTATGTAGTTGATTTTGGATAGATTTGGGTTATTCGGGGTCAGATATTCATGGAAAGAGCATTGTGACGTATTGATTAGAGCTTGGTTCGAGGTAAGTGGCTTACTTAACCTTGTGTGGGGGAACTCCTCTTAGGATTTAGAACTGTTTTGATATGTGAGCGCTGTGTACTTGAGGTGACGAGTACATACATAGACTATTTGTTGTAAAACTTTGTTTTTCACTAAGTCATAACCTGTTTTTTCTTATTTGAGCTACAGTAGCATATGTAATTATCCTGTTTAGTTTAGATTAGCATGACTACGTATTTTAACTACCTATCTAAACTCTGTGTAACATGCTTAGTGAAATTACCTGCTTTCCTTGACTTGAACTTAGTCGAAATGTAGGATTTTCTTGTTGTATCTGTTATTTCTGTTGAATGAGCTACATATTTACTTTGAGACTACGGAACGGTATTCTGGGAGATCCCCTGTACTGCATATTTACTTTGGGACAACGGAACGGTATTCTGGGAGATCCCCAGCACTGCATATTTATTTTTGGACTACAGAACGGTATTCTGGGAGATTCCCCCCCCCCCCTGCACATTTATGTTTGGGACTACGAGATGATATCCTAGGAGATCCCCCGTTCTTATCACTGTGTTATGAATTGTTGTCCTTCATTGACTCTATTCCTGTTAGATTTCCGTATTTATTTTTACTGTGATATTTCATTCTATCTTATTTCATTATATTTATACCAGTAGGGCCCTGACCTGATCTCGTCACTACTCGACCGAGGTCAGGCTTGGCACTTACTGGTTACCATTATGGTGTACTCATGCCCTTTCCTGCATATGTTTTCTGTGTGCAGATCCAGGTTCATCTTACCAGTCTCATCATGCGTTGCAGTCGCTACTACTTATTGGAGACTTCAAGGTACATCTGCACGCGCCCGCAGATCCTCGGACGGTATTCCGGGTTTTGGGAATTGTTTGATACATTTCATAGGTGATAATTGTATATGTCAAGTGACATTCAGTTGCGTATTAGATATTTATCACTGTTAGTAGTTAATGTTCATGCTTTTATTTCATTTTCGCAAAGTGTTAGGCTTACCTAGAGGGTGTTTGGATTGGCTTATTTTAAGTGCTTATTGACTTTTAAACACTTTTTTAGTTTGTGTGGTGTTTGTCAATGATAAAAAGTGCTTAAAATCACTTACTTTTAGACATACAAAGTACAAAAATAAGCCAAAAGCCAAAAGTTGAGCATGACCAACTTATGGCTTTTGGCTTTTAGCTTATAAACTACTTTTAATAAGCCAATCAAAAAACCCTCCTTGTCGTAGAGACTAGCTGCCATCACGACAATTCCCGGAGGGAGAAATTGGGTCGTGACAAATGGATCTAGTGCAAGCTCCGGAGATGCATGAACTCCACAAAGAAAACCCGTTTACTTAAAACCTATCAGTTTTCCCTATGGGTGTCTTGCCTTCGATCTAAACAGTGTTGCATTCCTAGCCAGATGCTAAAAGATATTGGCAAGCTGAGTAAAAATAGAACTGTCTCAAGTTCCTTATTGACAGGCTTAACAATAAATTAAGCTTTGAATGAATTTAAGTACAATCAAAATCATGTTGTAGTCGTCTTACTGTCAGCTATACCTATATCATGTTCTCAAAAGCGCACTATGGTTTTTTGAAGGCAAATAATTTATCAACAAGGATAATAGTAATATAACATTGAGCCTTCTATTTGGAGCAGAAATGAAGAATATGAAATATTATTAGAAAGCATTTGAGTGGAGATTGGAGAGTGTACTTTAACTTCTATTTAGGCCAATGGCTCCTATACGACTAAAAGGCTACTACTCTTTGACTTGCAAAGTAGTGAAAATGTATAATGCTTATATTGAGAGCGGAAACAAAGAGACCAAAACAGTTGGTTGATCTTGCGTAAGTTTTTATTGCTTCTATCTCAGGATTTCTAATTGATCCTCCATTTTATTTCATCTGTTTTTCACTATTATAAATGTTGAAATTATGACCTCCGGATCCAATTGATTTATCTGGCAAATGGGATGGGGAGGCAGGAAGGATCAGTCTGTTCTTTTTCTTCATTTTTTTCTTTTCTTGAATCTGTTACATATTGGTGATGTAGCTTAAGTTCCCTGTAAAACCAGCTGACTTGAAGAAAAGGATCGAAAGTCTCATAGATAGGGAGTATCTGGAACGAGACAAGAACAATCCTCAAGTTTACAACAATCTCGCGTAGAATATCCGTGAAATAAAATTTTCCGTGTAATTGACTTGGGAGACTCCCATTGTCACTGTCTTTGTAGTCGTTCACCACTGTAAAGCTCTTCATATATGTACTCCTTTGAAGCACGAGAACAAGTACTTTTTCTTTATTTTATTCTAAGTTCACCCAGAGGGAAATGATGTCTTTCAATAGAATAATTTTCCTCATTCATTATACAGAAAAACAGAACCATGGATAGAAGTCCAGAACATATTGAAATATGAATTCTCAAGAAATCAAATAATGTAAAACAAGCACAAAACTAAAATTTCGTAAGTGGACAATCGAGGAAATTAGGGAAGTGACGAGCCCAGCAAGAGAATGCTTAGCACAGGATCAGACAATTTTGACGGCAGTAGCAGAAGTTGAAGCAGACTGTTCAGTTGGGTTTGCATTTAAAGGGGACCGGATGTCATCATCAGGGCCATAGTCGGGATTGAGGTTTTGATCAATGGCTTCTCGGTCCTTTTCGAGACAAGGTTTGCAGGCAATCTCTATGGTTATCCAACCAAGAATTACACCTGCTATTGCTATCACTGCCGTTGTTATTACCCCCATTCCTCCCTATTCTCCTTTGCCCTCTCTCTCTATCTCTCCTGATATCTGAGTTGGAGTGAACGAAGAGAGTTGACCAGTAGCGGAATTTGAGAATATTGCAACTCACACCAAGTTTTAGGAGAGACGGAGTTAATAGTGCTGTACTTGCATTAAATTAGTTTGCTTTGCTAAATTATACCCGGCGTGATTAATTATTTGGTGGTCATCAAATTGTGAATCATATGCATACACATTATACATTGACAATATAAATGACATGTTACTTTTACCTATTATAGCAAGTAAATTGTGTAAGCTGAAGTGTAAAATTCATGTATGTAAATTGAACTCCTATGTCATTGTATAGTGTGTTCTACACATGGTCCCACAATGTCTCTGTGTCTCTGTCTGTGGTCCTTGATATTCTTATATGGTCTAACCTCATAAGCTAGCTCTTTGGGTGGAGTTAGGCCCAAAATTCATTTATCTTAGTATCAAGAGCAAGGTTAGATCCAGAAAAGAGAAAAAATTTGTGAGAGAGTTACGCAAAAACAAAAAAACTCATTCTTCATCTATGGCTTCAGAGAACAACAAGTGTAAAGCGAGCACAGTTTCAAACCTTGAGGAGGGACTTAAAAACTTTGCAGATGAAGGAAGGAGAATCTATCTGTAGCTATTGTGCTAGAATTATGGAGATATACAACAAGATGCGATTTCATGGTGAGAACATGTGCGATGTCATAATAGTGGAAAAGATATTGCGCTCTCTGATGTCGCAGAATGATTATGGTGTTTGCTCTATTGAGGAGTTAAAAGACATAGATACACTATCGCTTGACGACTTGCAAAGCTCTTTATTGGTGCATGAGCAGAAGATGAATCGTAGTTCAACTTCCGATGAGCATACTTTGAAGGCTTCTAATTTTATTTCTTTTTCTAGTTCTAGAGGAAGGGGTAGAGGTAGAGGAACATGAGATCATGGAGGTAGAGATTCCGACAAGAACTTCAAAGAAAATAATGACCAATCTCAAGGCAGGGGTCGAGATCATGATAAATCCAAGGTAGAGTGCTATAGATGTCATAAATTTGGTCATTATGCATCTGAATGTTATACTAGACTGCCTAATGACAAAGAAAAAGAAGAAAAGTCCAATTACACGAAAAACAAGGAAGGGGAGACCTTGTTAATGGTAATTCAAGTAGAGAAGGAACCCGAGCGAGATGTTTGGTATTTAGACACATGTTGCACTAATCACACGACTGGAAGTAAGTCTTGCTTTTCTTATTTAAATGAAGGCTTCCGTTCTAAAGTTAGTTTTGGTGATTGTTCTATTGTGGATGCAACGGGAAAAGGTGACATCAAGATTAAAACCAAAAATGGTTTTGTGGAAACAATTTCTAATGTGTTATATGTTCCTGAATTGAAAAGTAACTTACTGAATGTTGGTTAGTTGCAAGAGAAAGGTTATGACATTACGATTAAGAGGGTATTTGCATTGGCTTTTAAAAGTAGCTTTTAAGCTAAAAGCCAAAAGTTATAAGTTGGTAATACCCAACTTTTAGCTTTTGACTTATTTTCGTACTTTTCATGCCATGCTTTTAAGCAATTTTTATCAATTTCAAACACTACACAAACTAGAAAAGTGCTTAAAAGTCAATAAGCACTTAAAATAAGTCAATCCAAACACTCTTTAAGAAGGGTGAGCGAGAAATTTATGACCATGCGAGAGGAGCTATTGCAATAATTCAAATGAGTTCCAACAGATTATTTCCAATAAATATATATAGTATTCAATCTTGCTTGATCACGAAAGTGGAGGATCCCTCATGGTGGTGGCATTTTCGTTATGGTCATTTGAGTTTTGGAGGATTGAAGACACTTCAACAAAAAAAATATGGTCACAGGCCCTCCTCAAATTACTGTTCCTTCTCAAATTTGTTAAGAATGTGTTGTTGGCAAATAACACCGATCTCAATTCCCGAAAAGCAAATTATGGCGAGCAAAGCATGTTTTGGAGTTAGTTCACTCTGACATATGTGAGCCAATAAAACCAATCTCTAATGAAGGCAAAAGGTATTTTATTACCTTTATTGACGATTATTCTAGGAAGACTTGGGTATATTTTCTCCAGAAAAAATCAGAGGCTTTTAATGTATTTAAAAGCTTCAAAGCTCATGTGGAGAATGAGACAGGAAATACCATTAAGAGCTTTCGAACAGATCATGGAGGCGAATATTGCTCTAAGGCGATTGAAGAATCTTGTGGGACTCATAATATTAGAAAAAAGCTCACAACGTCGCATACACTGCAACAAAATGGTATCAGAGAGGAAGAATAGAACCATACTCAACATGGTTCGAAGCTTGCTAGCTCAAGGAAAAGTTCCAAAGACATTCTATCAAGAAACAGTAAATTAGAGTATTCATGTTTTGAATAGAAGTCCAACATGTTTTGTTCAAAACTTGACTCCAGAGGAGGCTCAGAGTAGAAGGAAACCTGTTATAGATTATTTTAAATTTTTTGGTTGTATTGGCTATGCACATGTCCCAGACGAGAAGAGGAAGAAGCTTGATGACAAAAGCGAGACGTGTGTCTTTTCTGGTGTTAGCGAGGTATCCAAGCTGTTCAATCCATTGACAAAGAAGGTTGTGACCATCAAAGATGTTATTTTTTATGAAGAAAGCTCTTGGGATTGGAATATGCAACAATCTATTCCAATCTTAATTGATAATCAAGTCGAAGAAGCAGCTGCAATACCCTAAAATTCTGAAAATTCTACTCCAACAGCTGCTGAAATTTCACCTTTAGCTTGGAAGAAATTGATGCACCAGACGAGTCTTTTCGTCGTGCTCGCAAAAGGCCCACATGGATGATGGATTATTAGGTAACATGAATTTATGTAAATGAAGACGATTTTTCCTACTTTGTATTATTTGCAGATATTGAGCCTACAACTTTTGAAAATGTTGCAGAAAAGGAGAAATGGAGGAAAGCTATGGATGACAAAATTAATGATATTGAATAAAAGAGCACATGGGAGCAATCATATCTTCCAAAAGGGCATGAAACTATTGGTGTGAAGTGGATATTCAAGACAAAGTTGAAAGAAGATGGTGAAGTTGACAAGTATAAGGCATGCTTAGTGGCTAAAGGATACAAACAAGAGTATGAAAATGACTACCCAGAGTATTTGCTTCGGTTGCGAGACACGATATAATCATATTGGTGATTGCATTAGCGACACAGAATTCTTGGCCTATTTTCCAATTAGATATCAAATCGGCATTTTTGTACAGGCACTTGGAAGATCAACTATTTGTAGAACAACCTCCAAGTTCTACAAAAAATGGAAATGAGCATAAGGTGTACAAATTGAAAAAGGCTCTTTACGGACTAAAACAAGCTCTGCGAGCTTGGTATAGCCACATCGAGGATTACTTTCTAAAAGTTGATTTTCTGAAATGTCCATATGAACACTCTCTTTTAGTTAAACATGGAGAACCTGGAAAAATGCTCATTGTGTATTTATATGTTGATGATCTTATATTTACTGGGAATGATAGTATCATGTTTGCCGATTTCAGGAAGTCTATGATGGATGAGTTTGAAATATCTGATCTTGGTAAGATGCATTATTTTCTTAGATTAGAAGTAGTATAATCTGATGATGGAATATTATTTCCCAAAAGAAGTATGTGTGAGAAATTTTGGACAATTTCAAGATACAAAATTGCAATACCGCCATCACTCTAATTGAGTTTGGCTTGAAGCTATGCAAAGCAAAAAGCAGAAAGAAGGTGGACAACACATTCTACAAGAAAATTATAGGTAGTTCGATGTATCTTAGTGCTACAAGATCCGACATCATGTATGTTGTAAGTCTCATAAGCATATACATGGAGAGCCCAACTGAAATTCACCTGCTAGCAGCTAAGAGAATCCTTCGTTACTTACAAGGAACTAATGATTGTATTTTGTTCTACAAGAAGGGTGAAAATTTTGGTTTGATTAGTTTTACTGGCAGTGATTATGTAGTAGATCAAGACGACAAAAGGAGCACTTCAGGTTATGTTTTTATGTTAGGCACAAGAGTTGTTTCATGGTCTTCTAAGAAGCAATCAATTAGCACTTTGTCAAAAACTGAAGCTGAATTTGTTGCTGCTACAACTTGTGCTTGTCAAGCTGTTTGGTTAAGGAGAATTCTTGAAGAACTAAAATCAAACAAGAAACAACACTACAATTTTCTGTGACAACAACTCGGCCATCAATTTGTCAAAGAACTCGGTGCCACATGGAATAAGCAAGCACATTGACTCGAAGTACTATTTCTTGAATGATCTCAACAATGAAGGAACAATAGAGCAAAATATTGCCGGAATGAAGACCAATTGACGGATCTTTTCACTAAACCTCTTAAGTTACATTCTTTCCAAAATTTGAGAAGATTATTGAGACTATGCACCATGGAATAACTCAAGAAATTGAAGATAAATTGAAGCTTGAAAGCTTTCAGTTTAAGGGAGGGTTTTAGTAAATAAAACTCATATCTTTTAGGTTTGTCCTAGTCCTTAGGAAGTAGTTTAACATGGTTTTGTTATCTTATTTTTAGGAGGAAACTTTGTGGAGTAGATCCTAATTTTTAGCCTAAGTTTCCTATGTTTTTTGGTTATAAAAAATTGCAGTTGTTGCATTGCAGTCAATCAGTCAGGAAATTTCAAGAATTGCCTCATTCTCTGCTATATTTTTTACTTACAAATCTACATCCTTCTCTAATCATTTTTTCTATCACCTATGGCATTTATTTGAGAAGTTCATTCCTCCTCTCTTTCATATAACCAACTTCTACCTCGGTATCTTTAGATAAATGATAAGTGTTGGGAATAAACCCCCACAGAAATAATATTCATGGTAATAAAAGAGAAATAACAACGTAGCACCGAGATACGGTAATTAACAAAAAAAGAGTGACACTAACACCAAAATTTTACGTGAAAAACCCTTTTGAATAAGGAAAAAAACAATGGCCCGAGACGAGCAATTGATATCACTATAGCAAGGAATTTTACAC